GAACCTTTTCCGGCGCGTGCGGCAGCGCTTCCCGCCGCTTTTCCTGCCGCGGTGCCCGACGGGAGCGCGCCGGGAAGGGCCTGCTGGGAGCTGTAGTCTCTCCTGTGGCCCGGCCCGCCAACATGTTTAAACGTTGATATCTTAATAAAATTGTTTACTACCGGTTCGGTTGGCTAATCCATAGTAAGACAAATGGGCCGGGCCGGCACCTGTAACACAGGGTTATTTTAAAGCGCGTACGTGGGGTTGAGGATTGCTCCCGATCTCGTGTTCTGAGCACGGGTGTGGGGCTGCCTCACACTGAGTCTCGTCTGGAGCCTCCCGTTAATTTATAAAGCACAGATACCGCTTCGATAGTGCTGAATTCACCTGGAATCTAAGGGGCATGCACATCAAATCTGGCTGCGAAATGCCCTCATGGATCGTGGGGAACAACGTGAGACAGTCCCTCCTGCCAGGAGGTGTCAGGAAACAGGGAAGCAAAGCCCTGAGGCTCCGGCTTTCAGGGCACATCTTAATCCCTGCTGCTGACACTGCATGAACCGCACCACAATGTTGCTTCCCAATTAAGGGACATGAGAAACCCGGCTCTGGAGAAAGAAAAATACCGGGAAAATACACAGGAGGTGCCAAGAGCAACCCAACAGCCCTTTTTGTTAGCCCTTTGCTTGGTGACAGGGCAGGACAGGACTTTCTGTGGTGGCTCTCATACAAGTCCATGTCCAAGGGCTGAAGAGGGGCGCAGCCTTCGCGGATTCTCTCCAAGCAGGAAACTTGGTGAGGTTATTTCTACTACACTCGGCTAAACAAAGTCCTGTAGGTCACATCCCTGTTTCTTTGCAAGGTGAAGAGCTTGGAGTTACTCTTCCCCAGGCAGTATGAGCAGGATCAGGAAATTTAAGTCAAAATTGAATGTTAATGTTGAAAAGTATTTTTTGACAGTGTAGGTGTTACTTTATCGGAATGTTAAACTCACAAGCGGATGTAAAACCCACAGAAAATATAACTTGTGTTGCCCATCTTCTTTGGTCAAAGTCAAGCTTGAAATAAATTTTACAATCCACTGAAATAGAAATCTATTCCAGCTCTATTCAAGAGCTTACATAATGTTAAGTTTAAAATGCATGAAGTGATTCATGCTTTCATGATAGTGYTTTTAATTATTTGTTTTAAAATAGGAAAGACACATTGCCAGAAATTTTTCAACAGGACAATAAGCTATTTCTTCCTGTCCTTGTAAATGCCTTGTAGCCAAAAAGAAATCCACAGAAATGTTGTGTGAAAACCCAGATGATCCTGCGCCCCTTGTTGAAAAGTGAGTGTCTTAAAAAACAAAGCCATATAAAGCAATGTAAAAACAATGTTCTGAAGTGTCCTTACCCTTTAGTGCAAAGAGCTAAATGAGGACTATAATTTTTTATTTTTGTTGTTTTTTATGAGGAACTGTTGAGTCATTGCTACCAAGGCTTACTGAGCTGGAAGCAGATTACACAGTTGGATACTGCAGTTGCATTCTGTGGTTGCTGTCAGAGAGACCAAGGGAGGAAAAATAAACAAATATGACACTTTAGGAGTTTCTATGTATTCTGGTGTACAGAAAGACAAAAAAATAGACATATTCTGAATATGGGAAAGCTTTGGTTTCTGTTTTAAATGGCATCTTTCTAAAGAGGGGATGGCAAGAAGAATGCTAGCTTTTAACAGATTTTCCACGCCAACACAGTGACACATAGGGCTGCCCTCATAGCTGTTTTGAAGTTATCCTGTTAAAAACTCTAAGCCAGGAGATGTATTGATTAAAGTAATCAGTCTTTGGAACAGAAAAGATTCCCAGAAGCTTATCCATCTYTTGCAGATGTTTCAGGAGTTTCTGGGAGTAATAACTGCATTTAATTAAACAGGTATAAGAGTTCTAGTTAAAAAACAAAACTAAACCAAACCAAAACCAACAACTCCAACCAACCAACCAAAACAAAAAAAAAACAATAAAACAAAAACAACAAAAAAAAAAATCCCAACAAAACAACACCCAAACCAAACCTGAGAGAGAAGTTTGTTGGTGGGCCAGATTAAAATGCTGCATTCAGGCATYCAGAGTTCTGGGAAAATACACACCAAAATTTCACTCTGTATTGGCTTTGATCAAAAACCATCTAAGACTGCCAGACAAGCTTACCAAAACAAGGAAGGAAAAATAGGTAGTGAAATTACCAGCCAACAGGCAAGCAACAATTATTTACATATAATTACTTAACTTCAATTTCACTCAAAAAAGTGAAGGACATCTGCTAGCTTTGAAGAATTCAAATTATATTTGAAGAATTCAATTATATTTAATTCTCTTCATTTCTTCTTCGATACAAAAATAAAATCTGTTGTTGGGGCTTCTTTTTCTTGTTAGGTCTATACAAAATGAATGCCAGCACTTGGGCACTTTAATTTCAAGTTTAGGAATACTAAATGAGTGGGGGAAAGAAGATGAAGATATATGGAGAGAGAATTATTGCTCAGTGATAATGTGCTTGAGTGACTAGGATTCCTGAATAAGTTGCATTTTGGGTTATGTCAAGGTTTTTGTACTGAATACCATTAAATATAGTTATCAGAATATATATGGATGTTTACTTATGGGAATCACATAAATATGTTGATTTAAGTGCTGAAATTCCTAATTTGGAGAGTAACACCGTATCCCATCAAGACACGTTTCAAATGGTGGAGACACCAGGAGGATGTAAGGAACTGTGGAGGCCACTGGATGTCAGGGTTGGACCTGCAAAAATTCTTCTTYTGAAAAACCTGAGTAGCTGGTTGCTTCTCTGAAATGTAGAGAAAAAGGGTAGAAAGGGCTGCTGGACCAAGAAAGACAGTGCCAGTGGCTGCCCACTGCAAGATATAACCACATTTTTGAATTCCCTGCTGACTCTTTGGGTAGAAGTGYGAAGACATAAATAACCTGCAAACAAGGGGATGTGACAATCATAACAGATAAATCCAACACATACCCAGAAAGGTGATAAAAGGGGAGGCATGCCTTTTTTCCCCCCAGAAATTCCTCTATTTACTATATTGATTTATCCTACGCATATAGAAATGAAAAAAATGTTTGAGATTGTTTTAGCCTGGAAAGAATGGTTATGGAAAGTATATAATGATAAAAACCCAATGTCTATGAGGCATGTGAATTTTTTTTTAGGTATTTATTTCATTAAAATACGTTTCTTTTGCCGTAACAGGGTTCTTAAATCATTATTTGCTGAGAAAACATTATCATTTAGCAATTTTAAGCTGGAAAAGTTACTTTTCTCTAATTGCATGGTTGGATTTTTTTGGTTTTTTTTAGATTTTCCCTGCCATCACATGTACTGTGATGCAGTTTCTCAAATATTGTTATAGCCTATGAACATTATCAGCCTCAGAAAGTCCTCATTTTGGCTCTGTGAGAGGTGGAAGACTTTTCGCTGCTTTTCTCAAAGATCCTGTGAAAAAAACTTTTCATAAGCAAGTCTCTTTTTACACCTTGTTTTGTGTAAACTCTCCTGATTTCTTTTCCTTACAKTCAGAATCATGATTTTGCTACAGGGTAAGAATATGCCTTCATGCTGCAGCCACCTGCAGCCTTTGGCCTGATTCTGGGACAGAGGAAACATTKTCCTGGCAAGCATGGGTAAGTTTTAAACTTTCTTCCACTATTAGAAACTACGTTTTTTTATTGCTTTGATTTTATAGTGTTTAAATACTCAAACATCTGAAAGCTTCTTTYGGGGTTGTATGGCTGATTCTCTGCCAAAGCTATAAGATTGGAAGAATGTGGAATAAAAAAATAGGGGAAGAAAAAATATTGTATATTGTACCATTGAAGGCATATACTTCATGCTGCTCTGTAGCAACATAATAAATCATATTATCTTGAATCAGACTGCAGCTGGAGAAATTCACTGCTGAAGAATTGTCAAACTGAGTACATCTGTGACCTGCACTAACAGTGCCTTGCCTAGGAGCAGCTTAGAGATCAAAAAGCCAGGGTCTCATAGCTTCACTCTCCATCAGTTGCTTGTGAATATCACTGTGATGCTCTAYGCCTTCTGTATAGGTCTGAATAACAGCTGTGTGCCTTAGGTGCACAGAACAATCGATTTAGCATAATTTAGGTGCCACTGAAAATTTCCCAGCAAGATATAGGAGCACSCTAAAGGTGGAGAGGCAGTAGGGGTCACTAGCACAGCGCTTACAGATGAGACTCTGAAACAATGTGGTGTGGAGGGAGATGGAGCATGTCTGTCAAGAGCACAGCAGAAGCCTGGGAGAGTTGCTTGCTGTTYAGAGAGAAAGCTTTATTCCAAAGCCATCACTTTGAAAATAAAAGCCTGTCCACTAATGTGATTAGTTACCTCTTCAGGCTAAAAATAGAGCCAATAATAGGATGCCAGGTGAATTGAAATGAYTTGCGTCCATATAGATTTTTGTAATGGGAAAGGTTTGTTCCTGTCATGCATTTGGAAGTAAAATGAAGTACTGATAGCAAATGCAACAAAACTGGGGAAGACTTCAGGACTATCCAAGAAGCAGCTGTATTCTGCCCATTTTCTTTAGATGTCTTCATTTACTCCAAGTAAACTGCCACAGCTAATACAGCTATTGATTGTTTTCAATAGGGTATATAAAAGTAACAGTGATGAAAGGTACATATTTAAATAGG